ACCCCTAGTCTCATGCTAAGAAGCGACAAACAAAGCTCTAGTGTGAAAGACGTGTTCATACACCGTGAGGTGGGTGCAACTAGCTAGGGACAAACTCCCTTAGTCGATCAATGAAGAAAAATCAACAAATATAAGCTAGGAGAACCAGCTTAACCGTTAGGTTAAGGATTGTGATTCATAGCTAGGGAACTTAGCCCTCTTCACAGATCAACCAAGAAGATCCCTAACTCTCATAGTTAGCTAATTGAGAATCGTTGCAACAAGTTAGAAAGCTAACTCACTTAACCTTTCAGCTAAGGGTAACAACGATAGGCTAGGAAACCTAACCTCTCGGCTAGCCGACTAAGGATTGCAAACCAAACCTTAAGAACTTAATGGTTGGCGAAGAGACCAATCCCGGTGGAATCACGACCCTACTCCGATACTTGAGATTTTGGTCTTAAATCGACCTAAAGGAGGTTACCCAAGTGGCTAAGAAGTCTAGCTTCCTATTGGACCAAAAGAGGATTTCCACCCTCTAGGTCAATTTTACCCAATACTGAGTTAAAGCTAGAACACTCAATCATTCATGAGTAATACCTCAAATATCATATAAAAACACTCAATCAACATAATATGTTCATGTTCTTACATGCTAACACATAGAGAGACTAGGATTCACAATACCCAAGTGAGTAGGTAGGCTATTCCGTAGCTAGACAAGAGAAAACAACAAAAGGAGAAGAAAGAACCATGAAGTGATGCCAATCTTTCCTCCTTCTTGCTTGAGACACCCTTGAGATGAAGAAATCTTACATCCTCTAGCTAGGAACAAGCCCAAAGCTCCTTCTTCGACTCCTTCTTCGGTCGTGTTCTGCCTGGGAAAACTCTCTGTTTCTCCTCGACTACTTCTTCACAAAGTTTGTGCCCTAAGCCCTCCAGATCGCAACCGCAATCTTAGGCTTCCAGGTCGTGATCTTTGGCTTGTCTTCGCAGGCATGGTTCTCGGTCATGATCTTTGGCTTCAGGCTGCGATCTTCAGTCTCTGCCACATTTGGTACACTTGTGACCGTAATTTGTACCTAATTTGCATGAATTGTCCAAATCACCCTAAAATCACGATAAAATCAAATAGGGATGCAATTGATAATGTTCAAACAATTATGCACCTGAATTTGCATGAAACAAACATTAATATGTAAGGTAAATAACACCGATTTAGGTGTTATCATTCGATTTTTTCTAAGTCGGGTGAGTGTCTTTGTCGGCAAAGTAACGATCCTCTAATGCCTCTTATCACTGGCTTCCGATATCCTATCGCCTAGAAGTCTATTTATATTCTTTTCATTAAGGTTTTCTGTGGAGGAAAGTCAATTAGCCTTCCGAATCCAACAGGTCTTCTCCAGCTTAGCCACCATGCTAGGTATAGTTTGGATGAATCTGCGTGTATTCTAGATAAATCCCAAAATAACGACAAAGGGGCTGTTTTATAAATTGAGTAGCAAATTCCTTCACCATTCATAACTAGGGGTGGCTATTTGGACCGGGACCGGATGAAAAACCGGAAACCGGACCGTATAACCCGGACCGAGACCGGACCGGGACCGGATAGTAAACAATCCAATCCAATCTTTGGGCTTAGATTTGAATTAAAAAACCGGATAAAGACCGGATAAGAGAGCTCAACACCCAAAACTTAATGGTAATTTGCATAAACGGTCACAAACCTTTGCACTTAGTACAAAACTTAACCAACTCCTCACCCTTTTAGGCCTTAGGCCACTCAAATTCCCACAATCTCAATATAAAATCAAGACCGAATTGGGACCGGACCGGGTCAAGACCGGACCGGATCAAGACCGGACTGTATCCAATCCAATCTTCGGTCCTTATATTTTCAAAAAAACCGGACTGGACCGGATCAATTTGGGCCAATTTAACCGGACCAGACCGTATAGCCACCCCTATTCATAACTTCACTCCATTTTCTATTCTGGATCTTAGCAGTTGAGTCTTGATATCCCACTACAAAGTGGTATACTAGGATGCTACGCCTGAAAACACATGAAACACGATAAAGAGCATCAAAATTGTAAAAGCTATAACATAGCAACTAAAACACAGGATGAAACAAATTCAAGTAATTATGATAATAAATATGTGAAAACCATGAGTTATGGCCATTATATGGGGTTCTAAAATAGTAGCAAAATTATTGTAACGTGACAACTTTAATGAGGAATCACTCTTTAAGAAAATCCATTGATTTGGTGACTCACTGACCTTTTAATACCTTAGAATTCTACAAGATGCTTGAAAATTTTCTATATAAGGATCTTCACCTCGCGCGATGTCCAATTTTATGAGAGCTTGTTCCCATTTCAAGAAGGAATGCAAAAGGAGTTATACTGGATCCCACGACCTGTTTTGAGTCGCTCGGATGACTTGCCCGATGTCACCAATTCAGCTCCCATCGAGGCGGAGCCGCCTACTAGTAACGACAAGGACACACGAGACAACTCGATGGAGGAGCCTGCCTAACTGCACGCTCCGATTCTCTACAGTAGTCATCGTCACCAAGAAATGGGCCAGCAGCTGAAGTTCACAGCCCGCTAGTGGTCAGCGAGCCTCCCAGTACACGTTGCATGCCTCACCGCCTCAAGTTTCTGTCCTTGGACGCCGGGACCAAGTACGACGACGTCCCAAATACTTGGACTCATATGATACTAAGTTCACCACTAATGACATAAAGAGAAGTACTTCAAATCTTGTACAGTATCCCTTAGCTGCTCACGTAAGCTATGATGGTTTTTCACCCTGTTTTCGTGCTTTTCTTGCAGCTATCACCAAAGAAGATGAACTAACATACTTCCATCAAGCATTCAAGGAACCCCGTTGGCGTGAAGCAATGGCGAAGGAGATTGCCGTGCTCGAGAAAAATGGAACTTGGAGTTTGGTTGATCTCTCTCCTGGAAAACGTGTGATCGCAGCAAAATGGGTGTACGATATCAAATATTTTCCCGATGGTAGTATCGAATGCTACAAAGCACGTCTAGTTGCCAAGGGTTATATGCAGATAGAGGGTCTGGATTTTCACGATACCTTTGCTCCAGTTGCCAAGCTGGTCACGGTACGGTGTCTCATTCCAGTTGCCATTAGTTGCGGTTGGCATCTCTATCAGCTTGACATCAATAATGCATTTCTTCACGGTGACATCGAGAAGGAAGTTTACATGGAGATTCCTCAAGGTTTTCGCACACCAGGAGATAATCGTGAATGTCGATTGCACAAATCCATCTATGGTCTTCTTCAAGCCTCGTGCAATTGGTATCAGAAGTTCACAGCTGCCCTAGTCGAGTTTGGTTTCCGGGCTTCACCAGCGGACGTATCCCTTTTCATCTATAAGAAAGGGAAATCCTTTGTAGCAGCACTGATTTACGTTGATGATGTCTTGATTACTGGCAATGATATGCCTTTCATGATACGTCTCAAGCAGATAATTGATGACCGCTTCAATATTAAAGACCTCAGGCAACTTTGTTATTTTTTAGGGATCGAGATGGCTAGAACAGCCACTAGAGTCGTCCTCAGCCAGTGGAAATACACGTTGGACATCTTGGAGGATGCTGGCACACAAGGTCCACGGCCCAGCTCTTTTCCCATCGAGCAAAATCATCAGTTAACTCGCTCAGGGGAAGCTCCTTTGACAGACTCGTCTATGTATCGCCATTTGGTTGGCAGGTTACTTTATCTTACTATCACACGTCCAGATATTACTTATGTTGTTAACATTCTTAGTCAGCATGTGCAGGCACTTAGTTAGGCACAACTCGATGGAGCTTACACGGTTCTCCGGTATCTCAAAAGTTCGCCGCGACAGGGGCTCTTCTTTCCTACCAACAACTCACTTCAACTTACTGCCTATTGTGACGGGGATTGGGGAGGATGTCAACGCACCTGACGCTCTACTATGGGGTACTATATCAGTCTTGGTGGTGCACTGATATCCTGGCGTACGAAGAAGCAGCGTGTCGTTGCGCGTTCCTCTACCGAAGCTGAATATCGGGCTATGGCGAGTACAGTCAGCGAAATAATATGGCTGCGGTGGCTATTACAGGAGCTTGGTGTTCGACAGTATGGCGCTACACCACTGCATTGTGACAACTAAGCAGCTCTTCATATTGCCAATAATCTAGTCTTTCACGAACGTACTAAGCACGTGGAGATGGATTGCTACTTTGTACGTGAGCGGGTTCAGTCCGGACACATCTTGCCTGTGAAGGTTCATACTGATCTTCAACTGGGGGATCTCCTCACTAAAGGCCTCAGTGCCGTTCGTTTTCACTTCCTCTTGTCGAGGTTGCACATTTTTTTATCTTCATGCGCCAGCTTGCGGGGGAATATTGGGCCGAGACAGAGACGAGGCCCAACGTGAGCAACACACATCGGCTGCTCATGCAAGCCGAGTTTGAGAAGGAAACTAAAACCCTTTCGTGTACTAAAAATGCAACCCTAGGTGAATGTACAATAGGGTATAAAAGCATATGTAAGGCTACGTGCCTCCATTATCAATAAGAGATTAATATCGTTCCGTGGATGTAAGCCTCACACATTGTGAGGAAGAACGACGTTAAATCTTGTCTCTCTTTTACTGTTTAGCACTATTTCTCACTGGGTAATTGGACTATTTGACTATTTGTTTCCGGTGTGTAATGGGGCAATCGAATATTGGTGGATGAATATGATAGGCAAAACTGATCAATCAAACCAACGGACAAGCACAACTTCCCAATGCGATAAACAAATCAGGAAGTAGTTATACTTACTTTTGCTTGAACTATTAAAATTGCTCTCTGCAGGATTAGCTTGCAAACTAATCCAGGAATTGGTACAAACGAATGCTTGCTACAGTGTACATAGTAAAAGAACAAAAGAATTACCTAATCAACCATTTCTTGGCTTTGTGTGCAACAGTAAGTTGCTTGCATTCTACAAATTCAGTTTTCAGTAAAGTGAATTAATTAATGGAGGAGGTCGTTGGTCCGTCTGCTGGGTCCCGATGGCCCCCGACTACCCTTAGGCAGAACATTAAGCAACAGCGACGACTCGTAGTAGTAGTACTTCTCCTTCCTCCCCGTCCCCAATACGACGTGCTCTCCTTCCCCGGTGCCGGGAGATAACGTCATGGCCGCATCGCCGTTGATCTCTTGCGCCGCCGCACTGCTACTTGAAACAGAACCACAGAGTATCCTAGCTGATGCTGAATCTTGTGACGCAAGAACTAGGAGGATCAACACTACCACTGCCGTTAATCCGCTCTTGATTCTGCGAGATCCCATTTCCGTCGCAACACAAAGTGGAAAAATATAAGGCTGAAGTCGGTAACTAGCTACAGAGTGTAGAAAAGAAGGGAGAAAAGAGCTCTGTGGATTTTTGCTAAAAGCGAAAAGCATAGCTGAGCATATATATGTGTTTAGATGGATGGAGGCATGAAGCTTGCCTATTAGCATCCCCAAGGCTTCTTGAGAAAGTCAAAGAGGCCGCGGTATTGTCTTGTAGCCCAAGGAAGGAAGGAAGGAAGTTTCAGAGTGGACACATAAATTTTTACGTGTCTCCGCGCGCTTTGGCGGCTTTTTGACTTTCAATTTTATTCAGCGGTGGAGTGATCCAGCCGGCAGCCAGCGTGGGTCTTCCGGGATTTTGTTGACCCATCCACAAAGCCACTACTTTTGGAACACGCTTTCGTTTGTCGGTGTTGACGTGGAACGACGGTGAAAGCTAAACTACACCGGGCAAAGGTCGTCTCCTGAAATCTTTTGTTTCTACCTCTCAGCGCGATCTGCCGGAAAATGGGTCGTCTCAGTTTGTCATATTCATTGATGTTCCGTTCCCGGTTTTACTCCTTGCTTTATCCGATCCTCTTGTTTTATTAGGTGGTGCGTCAGCGTGTTCGTTGTCCAGAACCAAAAAACATCTTATCAAGAAGGACGAATAAACAATTGAGGATTCAAAGTCATATCTGAATTAAACTCAATTTTCAAGAGATCGATGAAACAACAAGCAAAAAAAGAGGGATAGAACCAAAAAAATTAATGTTTATACAATTTGGGTGATCGAAGAAGAAGAAGAAAACAAAATGAGAACACCAAATCCTTTTTCTTTTTTCTTTCTTCCCGTCTTTACATTACTGTCGTTGCTGACGTGCCGCTCACAGTGGTATTGGGCCTCTCCAAAATCGGGCTCGGATCCAAACCTGCAGCCCATCTTCTGAGAATCCTCAACAGAGTCGCCGCCTTTCTTCTCGCCCGTACAGTCCCCGATCCCATCAGCTCCCAAATTATCCTCTCGATTCCAGGCATCGCCGCCAGCTCCGCCACCATCTCCGATCCACCTTTCCGACAGATAGTCACAAGCGTAGCCGCCGCGCTCTCCCGAGACGTCTCCGACCCTTCCCTCAACAAAACGGCCAATTTCTTTATCTTATTGTACACGGCGGCGATCGCCGCCAGCCCGCCTTTCTTTACCACCACTTCTAGTATCGTAACCGCTTCCTCCGGCAGCGAGTCCAATACTCCGGCCACAATTTCCACCACCCCGGCTTCGATCAGCCTCCCCACCGTGTCTCTGTCGCTGGCCAAGGTCAAAATTGCCACCAACGCGTCTCTCTTGGAAGAATTGGGGCCTAGTTGGGCTAAATCCACGAGACCTTTGATCACCCGATTTTTCCGGCCGAGGCGTTTTCTGTAGGAGTGCACGCCGGACAAGCTAAATATGGTGGCCGCCGCATTTCCTTTCGCCTCCCACGTGGCGCCGGAACGGAGGACCTCGATTATCCCGTTCAGAGCTCCGTCGGTTTCCATGACATTTGTCTTGTTCGCCTCCAGGATGGAAAGGTTGAGGATGGTGGTGACGGCGTTTACCTGGAGGTTCGGGAGCTCCGAGCCTACGTCCGAACCTAGGTAGCGCACCAGCAGGGGAATGGCCCCTGCTTCGGCGATGAACCCTCGGCTGTCGGAGTTAGTCTTCGCCAGCGCACGAAGCTCATAGACCACGCCGTTAGCCGCTTCCGTTGACTGCGAACCGGAGAGCTGGTTGACCAAAAACGACACCGTCATCCTCGTAGCCTCGACCGCGGCTTTGTTCGGGATGCTGACGCCGTTACTTTTGTGACTGGTCTCCGTCAGTTCGAACGGTATCTTCTGCTCACGGCACCACATGCTTATCAGATTCTTCAAAGCGCGGTTGGGGATGAGGCTGGTGTGGGCCAGGTTCTGACCTGTCTTCGGACACGTGTTGTGCCCCGATTCAATCCACAACGCGATTGACTCGCGATCGTACGTCTGTCCCGTGGCCACGACAACCGGGTCCCGCATCAGGTCCAGGCTAATCGGACACCGAAAATCCGGCGGAATATTGGTGGCGGCCTCCGCCGTCATATCCTTGCTGGTACTCCGCTGGCTCTCGGAATCCGGGCCCGACGCGCCGTACAGGACGCATTTCGCGTAACGGACGAGTCCAATCAGAGCGATCACCTCCGATTTCGACTTCTCGTCGCCCTGATTCTGAACCTCCTCTTCCAAAGAGTCGATCTCCTCCGTACACCTGGCGGCGGTCTGCAGCCCGACCCGTTGGAAAATCTCGGCGAGCTTGGGCTGATCGGGGACGATCTCTCTCTTAATCCGATCGAGCATGGTGAGAACCTCGCGGCGGAGGCTGCTGTCACCGGGATCGAGGTCGGGCTTCACGAGCGAGCACTGCCGCCGGATCAAAACCACGAGCTCCTGGACGTCCTCGGAGAGGTCAACCTCGTTGAGCGGGAAGATGTCGAGGAGCGTGGAGAGCTCGACGGTCAATTCGTGGAATCCGTTGGCGACGGAGTCGATCTGCATAAGCAGCCACATATTGCTCCCGTTGGAGCAGTCCTCGATCAAGGTTCTGATCCTCTGGAGCAAGATGTACATTTCTTCGAAGCAGAGCAGGGTCGGGGAGAAGATGAGGATTGGATTCCGGAGGAGCTCTTCGAAGAGGATGGAGAGCAGCTTGGTCTTCCGAATTATGGAGAGGGAGGTGCGGCGCAGGAGGAATTGGAATGGCTGGATGGAGGAGATTTCTTGGGAGAGGAGGAGGAGGGATTGGACCAGCTTCTGGTCGGCGAAGTTTGGTGGGATGAAGGCCCCGGCGGAGGGGCGGCGCTTCCGCGGCGGGAAGATGGCTTTGGGGGAAACCGTCATGTATTGGACCATGAGAAGAACGAATTCCTTTGCTTTGATTGAGAAACTGAAATTGCAAGAGAGAGAGAGAGAGATGAAGGAGAGGAGTTTTGAGCGTTTTTTCTTCTTTTTTTTGGTCAATTTGAGTAACGGAGAAGAATAGAAGAGAAGAAGGAAACGTGAATAATGAAAGGAGATATATGGTGGGCGCTATGTTAGGAGGGGGTGATTAGGCAGGCGGGCAGGAGTTGTGAATTCAAGGATAAACATAACATACATGATGAAGGTTCTGAAATGATGCGGTTGGTGGTGGATGAAAAGAAAAGAAAGAAAATAAAACAAGGGGCGCGCTGACAAAACCAACCTCCAATAAATAAATTATACATTACCATTAGCAGCAGCAACCAATATATACATTAGGATTTAGGAGTGGGAGGCCCGCTCGTGTCTGTTTGTTTGTTTGTTTTGTTTTTAGCTTTTCACCTCTGTCCGTCCGTCGGCCCATCCATTGCAATTGAAGTGGGAGAGTAGTGGGTGCAACTAACTTGTTGAGATTAACAACTCCTTTCATCATTTCTTAAATTAATTATCATCTAATACGTACATAATTCTATTGATCAACCCTAATCCAAGAAGAAGAACCCACTGCTCTCAATCTCCTTATTCTTCTCCTCCTCCTCATCTGCTAGTCTGCCACCTATACCTTTCGTCATTGCCGTCGAACTTATCTCACCAGCCCAGGACAAACGTCCGGATCCTGGATATCCACAAATCGATTCATAATCTTGGTGACGCAATATCGGCCATCAACAATTCAATGTTCCTTTGTTTGTTTCATATACAAAATCGTAGTTTTAGCAAATTATGAAATAAAAACCGATATGTTACGCATACATAATCGGTTAACCGATCGTAGTTTTAGCCAATTATGAAATAAAAACTGATCATACGCATACATAATTGGTTGACTGGTTAATGGTTTAACCGATAATTGTTATCCGCTAACTTGTTAACTGACAGGTGCGGTTGGCGGTAGCGACAGCGACAAAGGCAGCAGTCAGTATATCATTTTATACCCCCTCAGTAACCAGATAATCAAAATCCAATGCTATGCGCAATGGCAATCGGATATCCCACCCTAATTCCCTTTTTCTGACTACCACACACACTCATGCGAACCCTTCGTCTTCTCTCTGTCTTCGTCTTCCTCCCCAACTCTCTATAACCTAACTCTAAAACGAAACACGCAGAGACGAGTTGACCACCATCGGCCCATCACTCACCAAAAAGGGACGTCGTCGCTGGTTGAAACACACTGCTGATTTTTGAGTGAGTGGCTTGTAAGTGGTAACAACTAACAACTAACTAGCTAAATTACTAATGGTGATTAATAAAACTTTATATGATATATTAATACATGAATTGAATCATAAAAACACTCTAATTAAGGAATTATATGTTAATGAAACATTCATAAAATAAGCAAAATGATAGAAACCTGTAGTTGAGAAAAGAGAATTGGGAATTGAAGAAGAAGGGAATTAGGGATTTAGAAGAATTGGGGAAGAATTGAGAGAAGATGAGATTAGAGATTTGATTCTTTCTTATTGCTTAATCTGAAAATACTGTTCTGAACCCTTATATATGGGTAACAAAGTAAACAAACAACTTGGGCCAATAACCCGACCCTCCTACCCGTTAGACCCGCTGGGCGGGTTTCTATCAACCCCTCCCCCTTCAGAATCGACCTTGCCCTCAAGGTCGAAGGTGGGATAACGCTGCTTCAGCAGGGAGGTCTCTTCCCATGTCGCGTCCTCTAGCTCCACATGCTGCCACTCGACTAGGCTCTCCTCCACAATGCGACCTGCCTTCCTCGTCCACCTCGTCTCGAGCACCCGCAATGTCTTCAACTCCAAGTCTCCATCTGCAGTGACAGGAGGGGCCGTCGTCCCTACCTGGTTCGCTGGTCCCCTGTACTTTTTCAGCAGTGACACATGAAATGTCGGGTGAATGCGGGCGCCTGCCGGAAGCTGCAACATGTACGCCACCGGATTAACCTTCTCCAACACCTCATAGGGTCCAAAGAACTTCGCAGCCAGCTTCTGATAGGCCCGCCGGAAGACAGAAGCCTGTCGGTAAGGGTGCAAACGAAGGAACACCCAATCTCCCACCACGAACTCTTCCTCCCGTCTTCCCGCGTCCGCCAACTGCTTCATTTTGTTATTAGCTGCTGCCAAATTGGCCTTGAGCTGCTTCAAGGCTTCATCACGCGCTCCCAACCACCGATCCACCGCATCCACAGCACTAGCACCGCTCCGGTAACGCACCACGGAAGGAGGGGGCCGCCCATATAGAGCCTCGAACGGGGACATCTTGATGGCTCGGTGATAGGTGGTGTTATACCATAATTCTGCCCACGGCACCGTGGCCAACCAATTCCTCGGCTGCTGATGCGCAAAGCAGCGAAGGTACTGCTCCATATGTCGATTAATCACCTCTGTCTGACCGTCCGTCTGAGGATGATAAGCTGAGCTCATCCGCAACGTGGTACTAGCCATGGAAAATACCTGATGCCAGAAACGACTCAGAAAAACGGAGTCCCGATCACTTACTATCGACCTCGAAAACCCGTGGTGCCTGACCACGCCCAGCACAAACTGCTCTGCCACCGCCTTGGCAGTGTAGGGGTGCTCCAAAGCCATGAAGTGAGCATATTTGGTGAGCCTGTCAACTACCACAAACAATACGGTCTTTCCTCCTGACGGTGGAAGACCAACAATGAAGTCCATGCTGATATCCTCCCAGACCTGTTCCGGAATCGGTAATGGCTGTAGCAAACCCGCAGGGCGAAGCTGTGAAGCCTTGACCCTCTGGCAAATATCACAGGAATCCACATAGCTTCTCACATCCTGCCTCATCTGTGGCCAGTAGAACTGAGCTCGAACCCGGCGAAGAGTGCGCTCCACCCCGGAATGGCCGCCGAAGGGTGAATCATGGAATTCCTGTAGTATGGTCGTCACCAATGATGATCCTCGTGGAAGGACCAAGCGCCCTTTGAAGAACATCAGGCCCTGCCGAAAAGTATAGTGACCCGGGTTCTCGCTATCCGCGATGGCCCGGCACTCCTGCAGATATGGATCTGTCTCTGTCAACTCGCGTAGGGTGTCCCAGAACTGAGGTACGGGCCCGGTCACTGCCGCGAGTATCTCGCCTCCCGGTCTGTAGTGAATCTCATAGTCATATCCCAACAACTTTGAGACCCACTTATGCTGATCCGGAGTAGAAACCTTATGCTCCAAGAGGTTCCGCAGGCTCTGGTAATCGGTGTAGATGTGGAACTTCTGTCCTAATAAATACGGCCTCCACGCCTGTACTGCAGTGATGATAGCCTGCATTTCCTTCTTATAAGTCGACCATGCTTCCTTGGATGGGGCCAAGGTCTTGCTAAGAAAAGCTATCGGGTGACGGTCTTGGGACAATACCGCCCCAATTCCCCTGCCGGAAGCATCAGCCTCGATCACAAACGGCTTCGAGAAGTCTGGCATAGCCAGGGTGGGTGTAGTCGTCATAGCCCGCTTCAATTTCTGGAATGCATCCTCCGCCGCCTGAGACCACTCGAATCCGCCCTTCTTCAGAAGATTCGTCAGAGGTCGAGCGATCATGTTGTACCCCTTAACGAACTTCCGGTAATACCCCGTCAGCCCAAGGAATCCCCTCAACTCTGTCACTGTAGTCGGGACTGGCCATTCCACCATCGCCTGAATTTTGGTCTGGTCAACCCGTACTCCCTGCGGTGTCACAACATGCCCCAAATAATCTACCTCCTGTCTCCCAAATGAACACTTGGAAGTCTTGACACAGTACTGATGCTGGCGGAGAATCTCGAACACTGTCTGTAAATGCTACAGGTGATCCTCCCATGAAGGACTATAGACAAGTATATCATCAAAGAACACCAAAACATACCGGCGTAGGAGGGGCCGGAAGATATCGTTCATGGCTGCCTGAAAGGTCGAGGGTGCATTACACAGTCCGCAGGGCATTACCAGGTACTCATAGTGTCCGTTATGAGTCCGAAATGTCGTCTTATGTACGTCCCCCTCCTCCATCCGGATCCGGTGGTACCCGGCCCGTAAGTCCAGCTTGGTGAAGTAGGCCGATCCGTGGAGCTCATCCAACATATCATCGACGGTCGGAATCGGAAACCTGTCCTTCACTGTCACCTTATTTAGGGCCCTGTAATCTGTGCAGAAACGCCATATCCCGTCCTTTTTCTTCACTAGGAGTACCAGTGAGGAAAACGGGCTGGTGCTTGGGCGAATCAACCCTGTCTCGAGCATCTCTTCCACCTGGCGTTCAATTTCCTCCTTCTGCGAATGCCCATACCGATAGAGTCGTACATTCACAGCCTCCATCCCTTTCTTCAAATTAATACGATGATCAACCTGGCGGTGCGGAGGAAGGGTCGAGGGAGTCTGGAATATATCTGGGAATCGATCGAGCACAGCCTGCAAATCCGCCGCGACTGTCTCCGTCTGCTACGCAGCCAGCGGCCAACAGAGGACCGCGAAGTCCGCCTCCCCTCCAACTACGCACTCCCGGAAGGAAATCGACCCTGTCACTGTGGTCAATCCCTGCAAGGTCCACTCCTTATCCCTCCACTTAAGCACATAGTCAATCTAGTCCAATCACTGATGACCGGTCCCAGACTGCGAAGCCATGGCATCCCTAGTATCACATCATACCCCCTGATCGGAAGCACATACAGATCTGCTGAGAACTCCAACCCTTGGATGTCGAGTCTGAGATCGCGGTAGACCTTAGTACACCGCATGGGGGCGCATTCGTGACCTTGACCACCTACGGCTCCATCTCGCAGGCCTCCTGCGCTAGGGTGTCCGCGAACTCCGCCCCAATGAAGTTGAGCGAAACACCGTTGTCCACCAAGGTCATGGCGGAGTGCCCGTCGATCTTTGCACGGAAACACAGCGTTTCCGGGGATGCCTGACCCGCCACCGAGCCGAGGGACACGA